ATGGAGCTGCAGGGCGCAGCAGAGGAAGAGGGGGTTGGAGAGGCCGAGGCCGTGGGAGAAGCTTTGGCAGAGGTAGAGGCCGAGGTGACTATAATGAGGGGCATGGGAGCTCCAGTGGCAGGGGGAGTACCAGAATGGAGGGCACCTGCTGGTACTGCAAGAAGGTCGGGCATCCTTGGTTCAAGTGCTTCAGCAGGCTGGAGGGATGGTCACCTCCAGGCATGAAGCCGCCAAGTGGTGAACGCGCACAAGGTGGCGCTGTGCAAGGCTCAGGTGCACAAGGTGAAGGTGCACAAGAAGAGCAAGGCCGAAGTGACCTTTGGACCAACCAGCTGCCGTGCTAAGCTTGGGAAGAAGGTGCTGTGGAGTCTGGAAGAGGAGACCAGCTGCATCAAGGACCTGTGGCAGCTGCCCATCATCCCTTGGAATGGGAAGACTCCAACAGCAGCAACGGCAGCAGCGGCAAAGGCAACAGCAGGAGGAGATGCAACTGCACCAACTGATGGGGTCCTGGAAGCAGTCAAGAAAGTGCAGCAGCAGCAGACACATGGTGAGGTGCTTGCTGGTGTGGATGCGAGTGCGGCATGGGCTAAGGCTTCATCAAGGAGTGGAGAGGCCGATTGGGAGACATGGCATGAGAGGCTGTGTCATGTGAACTTCCCTATGCTGCAGAAGTTGGTGAAGGATGGGAGCCTGAAGGGCTTGGAGGTGAAAGGGGGAGTGAAGGAGATTGGGAGCTGCCCTACATGCTTGGAGACCAAGTTCTCCAAGTTCCCCTTCAACAGCACTACAGGACCAGCCAAGACCCCACTTGCACTTGTGCACATGGATGTGGTGGGGCCCACAAGAGCCCCTTCCCTCTCAGGCAGCCGCTATTTCTTGACAATTGTGGATGACCACACTCGGGCAGTGTGGGTTTACCCTTTGAAGAGCAAGGGGGAGGTGGCAGCGGCTGTCCTTAAGGAGTGGATGCCTAGAGCTCAGAGGGAATGCGGATACAAGGTGAAGGTGATCCGCAGTGACAATGGTGGGGAGTTCATTGGAGCTGATTTTGAGGGGGAGTTGAAGAGGAAGGGGATCCAGCATCAACTGACAGTGCCCTACAACCCGCAGCAGAATGGCGTGGCTGAGAGGTTCAACAGGACCCTGCAGGAGGGGGCACGCACTCTCCTTGGGCGTGCAGGGCTGCCTGATCCGTTTTGGGTGTCTGCACTGAGGCAGGTCGCCCTTGTGAAGAACAGGGTGCTGGCTACAGTTGGAGATAAGGAGTGGATCCCATATGTCAAGTGGTATGGGAGTGCTCCAACTGTGAACATGCTGAGGGCATTTGGGTGCATGGTGGTGTTTCATGTGCCTAAGGAGAAAAGGGGGAAGTTGGAGGCTTCTGGAAGATGGGGTGTGCACTTGGGGATTGCAAAGGATCACAAGGGGTGGCTGCTATGGGACTTGACCACCCAGAAGTTGACAGTGTCAAGGGATGTGAAGTTTCTTGAGTCCCTATACTACAAGGAATGGAAGCAGCAGCAACAGAAGCTTCCATCTACACCGCTCATTGTGGAGGCAGATGAGGTGCAGCAGCCTTCAAGACAGGTGGAGGTTGCAGTGTCAGAGGAGGAGATGTCTGGGGTGACTGAGGAAGGGGGAGCAGCTGAAGTAGAGCAGCAGCAGCAGCAGCAGCATGAGTCTCCACCTCGAGTTCCACACCCGCCTGAGCGTCCTAGGAGGGATGTGCGCCCTCCAGTGAGGCTGACCTATGGGGGAAGAGGCAAGCCGAATGTGGTGCAGGCTGGGAGTGTGGTTGAGCAGATTGAGGAAGATGAGATCGCTCACTGCTACTGGGCACCAATCCCTGAGCCCAAGACTCGAGAGGAGGCTTTGAATGGACCAAATGGGGAGAAGTGGAAGGCGAGTGAGGATGAGGAGTTTGGGTCCCTGATTGAGAACGAGACATGGGACCTGTGTGACTTGCCTCCTGGGAAGAAGGCAATCACTTCCAAGATGATCTACAGGCACAAGTATGGACCTGAAGGGGAGCTGACCCGCTACAAGTCTAGGCTTGTGGCACGGGGGTTTCAGCAGACAAAGGGGAAGGACTATGATGAGGTGTTTGCTCCTGTGGGGAAAGGAACAACACTGAGGGTGCTGTTGGCGATAGCTGCACTCCTGGGATGGAAGATACGGCAGATGGACATTGTGACTGCCTTTCTGAATGGGATCATTCTGGAGGAGGTGTACATGAAGCAGCCAGAGGGGCTGGATGATGGGAGCGGCAGGGTCTGCAGGCTGAAGAAGGCCATCTATGGCCTTAAGCAGGCGCCTCGTGCATGGTATCACAAGTTGGAGGAGGCGCTGCTGGCTGGGGGTTTCAAGAAGAGTGAGTGTGACCCCAGCCTGTTCCTGCTGCAGGAGAAGGATGAAATCCTCATGCTCTTGGTGTATGTGGATGATATCCTTCTCTTCTCTGCATCAACTGCTTTGCTGGACAGCGCAGAGCAGATGCTGGAGATGCAGTTCAAGTGCTCCAAGATGGGTGAGGTGAAGTACTACTTGGGGATGCATGTGGAGAGAGATGTGGAGAAGGGTGTGCTGAGGTTGCACCAGAGGAAGTACTGTGAGGGGCTGGCTGAGAAGTATGGGCTGCAAGATGGGGGAAAGCCAGCAACACCACTACCTTCAGGGTTTACTGTGGAGCCATGTGCTGATGAGGAGGTAGTGGGTGAGAGTGACAGGAAGCTGTTTCATTCGATGGTTGGGTCGCTGAACTATGCTGCAAATCATACACGGCCTGACATTGCATTTGCTACATCACGGTTGGCTAGTGTGGTCTCACGCCCTAGTCATGAGCAGCTGGAAGCGGCCAAGAGGTTGGTCCGCTATGTGAGTGCTACGGCATCAGTGGGATTGGAGTACAGTGGAGTGAGGCAGCGGTTGCAGAGAGGTGCTGCAGATGTGAAGAGTGGAGAGATGCTCTTGAGTTGCTATACTGACGCTAGCTTCAACTCAGTGAAAGCGGATGGCACCAGCATTGGGGGTTATGTGTGCTTGCTAGGAGGTGGTGCTGTGAGCTGGCGCAGCAAGAAGCAGAATGAGGTGGGATTGTCCTCATGTGAGACTGAGTACATGGCCTTACACCATGGGGCCAAGGAAGTGGTGTGGCTGAGGCGCTTGTTGGAGGAGTTGGGAGTTGGTCAGGAGGAGCCGACAGTTGTGTTCTGTGACAATGAGTCTGCTGTGAAGCTCGCCAAGAATGCTTGTCTGCATGGGCTGACAAAACACATAAGGCCTAAGTGGCATTGGGTGAGGAGACTCCTTGATAAGGAGGTGCGGCTGGAGATAGTGAAGACCCATCAGCAGGCAGCAGATATTTTCACCAAGCGTCTGGCGGAGGCGGATCATTGGAAGGGCATGAAGCTTGCTGGGATGAGTGTGCATTGAGTATGCATGCTTGAGATGTTGGTATGGTGGATGATGGTTGGCAGCCAGAGGGGGAGATTGTTGTGTGATGTCATCATATGCTATCACATTCTGTCTGCCTCCCATCCCATATTTTTCAACTTGCATGTGTGGTTTGAACGTGTGCAAGAATTTGTGTGTGATGTGTTCTGGAGTTTGGGAATGTGTTTTGTGTTATTTTGTTTGAGCAGGTTTTTTGTGATGATAGATCTTGAGAAGATCTTTCCGACGCAACGAGAATCCCTTCAATCGGAGCAAGAACGCGAAAGCTATGAAGATTCAAAGTTCATGAGCTTGCGTTACAATTGCGGCGGTTACAAAGTGAAGTTGTGGGGTGACTTTATATGGAGTTGGGACCTTTGGGGTTGGGTAAACTTGTCACTCTACTGTAACAGCTGCAAATAGGTTGGGAACAACCAAGCTAGGTTGGCAAGGGTGGCCAACTTGGATGGATTGGTTGGGAAGGGACAAAGGTCAAAGTTGAGGTTCCTATAGGGAGGGAATCTTTGTGCTTATGGGGTTTCCTTGGTTGGGGACTCTCTTGGGACCTTCCCTCTCATCCCTCTCTTCTATCCCAACCTTTCTCTTGCTCCTCTAATTCCTTGTGAGATTCTTGAACTTTGATTGAACTTTTGAGATTGAGTTAAGTTCTCCTCCTACAGCTTACCCCCTAATGCGTCGAAAGCCATAGCGTCGCGAATACTTCATCAATCAACATGATTCAAATTGGGAACGGTAGCTGAGATTAAGAGCTACAACATATCCAAGTTTCGCGACATTCCAACGGCTAGTTTTCTGTCGACGTCGTTTCTTGTGAAGACGACTTTTCTGTCCAGAATTTCGGATTTATATTTTTTGAGTAATTCTAGCTCCTAAGTTCACCTAGACTCCGTCCTTAATCCAAACATAGAGCACGTTTGTTTGGAGCACTTTGTCTGGACCAATTTCGTCAGGAGCACTTTGTTTGGTGCTTTTCCGTCTGGAGCACTTCATCTGGAGCACATAGTCCGGAGCACTTTCGTCTGGTGAACTTCGTCAGGTGTACCTTCGTTTGTAGCTCTTTCGCCTCAAGCATTCTGTCTAAAGCACTTCGTCTAGAGCACTTTGTCGGGAGCACTTCGTCAAGAGCACATTTTCTGTTGCTTTTTCGTATTGAGCACGCTCGTCTGGAGCACTTTGTCTGGAGCACTTAGTCTGGAGCACTTTTGTCTCGTGAACTTTGTCTGGTGCACTTCGCGTGGTGCACTTCATTTTGAGCACTTCGTCTGGAGCACTTTCGTCCGGAGCACTTTGTCTGGAGCACTTCATCTTGTGCACTTTCGTCTGGAGCACTTTTGTCTGGAGCACTTTCGTCTGGTGCACTTTCGTCTGGAGCATTGGGATTGTTCGAAGACTTGCTTGCAAGGAAACAGCAGCTATGAAATCTGTTGCCTTGCAGGAACCTGCAGCCAAGAACAGCGGGAGAAACAAGCTGCAGAAAATTCCTCCAACACACACCCAGAGCGTGTTCAGTTGAATTCTAGAGAACCGACTTCGGTTTCGGTTTCGGACTTGGTGTCGGTTACCAAAATCCGAATTCCGCGGTTGCCAGAATTTTGCGGTTTGCGGAATTCCGCGTGTTATGAATTATAACTCAGAGTATAGCGCAGAATACTATAGGGGAACGTGATTACAGAGTGTCCTATCCAAATGAGACCTAGGGCTTATATAGTGCGAGTTGACCAGGTGGAATGTCGAGGGTTGGACCAGTCAAGGGCTCAACAGTCCGAGGGTGACGGGGTCAAAACGGGTTCATGGCGACTCGGGGTCAGGTTGGGGCCGAAAAGGTCGTTGGGGGCGGGTTTGGCGCGATAACCCAGGGCCGAGCCTACGGACCCGCACTGTTCGCGGTACTCGCTGTGGCGAGTCCCAGTAAGGAATCGGAATTCCTTACACTCTCCCACCTTCTAAAGGAAAGCCCTCCCTTTATCGATGTCGAACCTTTTATCTAATTTAATCCCCGAAGTGACTGTAAGTCTTTAGCCCCGTGACGAGCGTAATGATTACGCGGGCCGGACGAGGTCTTGACGTCGAAGTGAAATCGATGGTCAGAAAGCGTCGAAACGATCGCTTTTAATCACCGCCGTCGAAGATGATCGAATTCTTCTCGTGACCAAACGGGCAAGGGTAAATACTCCAGTGGAAAGACAATGACCAGTGAAACCGTCGAGTGGTCGATTGATGATGGTGCCTGGCAGTCGAATTTCTTGAAATGATGATGGGCAAATATCGTGATGGTCGATGAATATGAACGACCCGTTCGTCAAACGTGAGGTCGTTTGAGTCACATGCGAGAGCACGCGTCCGTGTCCCACGAAAGTCAGCGAACTCCATCAACGAAGTGACGAAATCAGGTGCAGAAGCGTAACGATGATGAATGTCGGTCGCAAATGGTTAATAGAACACGCCGGAAAGTCGTCGGAAAATTGCAGCACAGCTGCCCTTCTCCCCCCTTCAAAAGAAAACAGCTCCCAAGTTCCCAGGTAAAACGTCAGAAAACCCAATGCTCCAGGGGCGTCGAAATAAGCCCAAACTGCTGCTGAAAATCCCAGTACTCAGCTTCCAAGATGCCGCTGCAAAACTCCAACTGTTGCAAACGTGTAATGTCTCCACAGGGAAACCGCTCCAATGGTCTTGAAATTCCGCAACGACTGCGTCAGAAGACTCCCATACGAACGTTTTTTTTTTTTTTTTTTTTTTTTTTTTTTTTTTTTTTTTTTAAACACAACTTGCGAGCTGGCCCCTACACAGCTCCACAGTACTGCTGCAAAATTGCCGGTGAATCCGATACTGCTCCTGATGGGTGGCGTTGTTGCAGCGGGGTCGTGTTTACAGTGTCTTACGAATCAGGCGAAATGACAATGGAGGTGGTAGCGGTTGATGATGAAAGGCTGTACCGAACCACTCCCGTGAAGATCCTCGAACAGAACCCCATTTCAAATGATACCAGCTGCATCCGTTTTTTTGTCCGTGCCCGCCAAAAATTTCGGGAAGAGTCGAAACTGTTACTGCCCCCCCTCTGCTCCATATAACCAAAACACTCCGCAAATGTCGGTCGATGTCGCTCGTACCCCTGAGGATGGCGGGCACAGCTCTGGCTGTTAATTCTTCACCCGCTGCACAAACTCTCCGAAAATGTCGGAACCACGTAGTACTTAGTAAGTACCGTAACTCCCACAACTAACCGTAAAAATTGTTGTGTGATGTCATCATATGCTATCACATTCTGTCTGCCTCCCATCCCATGTTTTTTCAACTTGCATGTGTGGTTTGAATGTGCAAGCATTTGTGTGTGGTGTGTTCTGGAGTTTGGGAATGTGTTTTGTGTTATTCTGTCTGAGCAGGTATTTGTGATGATAGATCTTGAGAAGATCTTTCCGACGCAACAAGAATCGCTTCAATCGGAGCAAGAACGCGAAAGCTATGAAGATTCAAAGTTCATGAGCTTGCGTTACAATTGCGGCGGTTACAAAGTGAAGTTGTGGGGTGACTTTATATGGAGTTGGGACCTTTGGGGTTGGGGAAACTTGTCACTCTACTGTAACAGCTGCAAATTGGTTGGGAACAACCAAGCTAGGTTGGCAAGGGTGGCCAACTTGGATGGATTGGTTGGGAAGGGACAAAGGTCAAAGTTGAGGTTCCTATAGGGAGGGAATCTTTGTGCTTATGGGGTTTCCTTGGTTGGGGACTCTCTTGGGACCTTCCCTCTCATCCTTCTCTTCCTATCCCAACCTTTCTCTTGCTCCTTCTAATTCCTTGTGAGATTCTTGAACTTTGATTGAACCTTTGAGATTGAGTTAAGTTCTCCTCCTACAGCTTACCCCCTAATGCGTCGAAAGCCATAGCGTCGCGAATACTTCATCAATCAACGTGATTCAAATTGGGAACGGTAGCTGAGATTAAGAGCTACAACATATCCAAGTTTCGCGACATTCCAACGGCTAGTTTTTCGTCGACGTCGTTTCTTGTAAAGACGACTTTTCTGTCCAGAATTTCGGATTTATATTTTGAGTAATTCTAGCTCCTAAGTTCACCTAGACTCCGTCCTTAATCCTAACAAGTGGTATCAGAGCTGTATTAAGGACGTTGAGAGGAGTCTACAGAAGTGTGAAGACCCTTCTAGACCCACCATGGCCTGTGGGTGTGCCTAAGTGGTGTTCTAAAGGTTGGATGTGTCTTCCGCTAAGGGAAACTCTGCCGAAATTTCGTGGACGCCGACACTTGTGAAAATATCGAGGGAGCTGAGTGTGGACAGCAAAGGGGGGCTGAAATTCGTCATTTCTCAAGGAGAAGATGAATGAGAGAGGAGGAGATGCTAATGGAAGAGGAGCTGTAGCTGAGAAGACAAGTGAGCCGCCGCCATCAAAAGTTGAAGCTTTGGATGGCTCCAACTATGAGGAATGGAGCGGACGGATGAGGAGTGCCTTCAAACGCTACAAGCTACTGAAGATTGCTGTTGGGGAAGAGAAGATGCCGGAAGAAGGCGAAGCACGCGAACGGTGGATTGAGAAAAGCGCGGTGCTTTTCGACCTCATCCTTCAATCGGTCAACAAGGAGATGTTCGAGCACATCAAGGATCTTGTGGAAGCGGATGATTCGGGTCCAAGGGCGTGGAAACTACTACGCGATGTGATTCAGCCCAACACTCTCCCGATGGTGATCGTGCTCGAGAAGGAACTTGCTGCCATCTCCATGCGACCAGGGGACGATGTGAAGCCGGTCCTTGACAAGATCAAGGACACCTATGCAAGGATGGCAGCAGCGGGCAGCAGTGTATCTCAGCTGCAGCAGTGCACCAAGATCATCTCGGTGTTGGACAACTCGTGGGATAACCTCATCCCCACCCTCAACTCTCAGCAAGATCAATGGACACCTGAGTGGCTAAGGCAGCAGATTCTGCAGGAGGACTTCCGCAGACGCCATGTGGGAGGCGGTGCTGCCACTAAGACTGCTGAGGGGTATGGAGCTGCAGGGCGCGGCAGAGGAAGAGGGGGTTGGAAAGGCCGAGGCCGTGGGAGAAGCTTTGGCAGAGGTAGAGGCCGAGGTGACTATAATGAGGGGCATGGGAGCTCCAGTGGCAGGGGGAGTACCAGAATGGAGGGCACCTGCTGGTACTGCAAGAAGGTCGGGCATCCTTGGTTCAAGTGCTTCAGCAGGCTGGAGGGATGGTCACCTCCAGGCATGAAGCCGCCAAGTGGTGAACGCGCACAAGGTGGCGCTGTGCAAGGCTCAGGTGCACAAGGTGAAGGTGCACAAGGTAACGCCTATCCTGGGATGTATCTCATGGTTGAGGATGTGCATGGGCATGAGGGTGATGTGGGATCTGTGGGAAAGGTTGTGATGCACCCTCTCACGCACTGGGTGATTGATTCAGGTTGCACCAGTCACATGACCCCACGGGCAGATTTGCTTGATGAGGTAAAACCCCCTGGGAAGATCAAGTATGTGGCAGCAGCGTCAGGTGCTTTGCTCCCTGTCATTGGTGTTGGAAATGCCAAGGTTAAGGGAGCTAATGGGGAGCTTGTGGGGCTTGGGAATGTTCTGCTGGTTGAAGGCTTGTCTGCTAACCTTCTCTCTGTGCGACGACTGCAGAAGAGCAAGGCCGAAGTGACCTTTGGACCAACCAGCTGCCGTGCTAAGCTTGGGAAGAAGGTGCTGTGGAGTCTGGAAGAGGAGACCAGCTGCATCAAGGACCTGTGGCAGCTGCCCATCATCCCATGGAATGGGAAGACTCCAACAGCAGCAACGGCAGCAGCGGCAAAGGCAACAGCAGGAGGAGATGCAACTGCACCAACTGATGGGGTCCTGGAAGCAGTCAAGAAAGTGCAGCAGCAGCAGACACATGGTGAGGTGCTTGCTGGTGTGGATGCGAGTGCGGCATGGGCTAAGGCTTCATCAAGGAGTGGAGAGGCCGATTGGGAGACATGGCATGAGAGGCTGTGTCATGTGAACTTCCCTATGCTGCAGAAGTTGGTGAAGGATGGGAGCCTGAAGGGCTTGGAGGTGAAAGGGGGAGTGAAGGAGATTGGGAGCTGCCCTACATGCTTGGAGACCAAGCTCTCCAAGTTCCCCTTCAACAGTGCAACTGGACCATCCAAGACCCCACTTGCACTTGTGCACATGGATGTGGTGGGGCCCACAAGAGCCCCTTCCCTCTCAGGCAGCCGCTATTTCTTGACAATTGTGGATGACCACACTTGGGCAGTGTGGGTTTACCCTTTGAAGAGCAAGGGGGAGGTGGCAGCGGCTGTCCTTAAGGAGTGGATGCCGAGAGCTCAGAGGGAATGCGGACACAAGGTGAAGGTGATCCGTAGTGACAATGGTGGGGAGTTCATTGGAGCTGATTTTGAGGGGGAGTTGAAGAGGAAGGGGATCCAGCATCAACTGACAGTGCCCTACAACCCACAGCAGAATGGCGTGGCTGAGAGGTTCAACAGGACCCTGCAGGAGGGGGCACGCACTCTCCTTGGGCGTGCAGGGCTGCCTGATCCGTTTTGGGTGTCTGCACTGAGGCAGGTCGCCCTTGTGAAGAACAGGGTGCTGGCTACAGTTGGAGATAAGGAGTGGATCCCATACGTCAAGTGGTATGGGAGTGCTCCAGCTGTGAACATGCTGAGGGCATTTGGGTGCATGGTGGTGTTTCATGTGCCTAAGGAGAAAAGGGGGAAGTTGGAGGCTTCTGGAAGATGGGGTGTGCACTTGGGGATTGCAAAGGATCACAAGGGGTGGCTGCTATGGGACTTGACCACCCAGAAGTTGACAGTGTCAAGGGATGTGAAGTTTCTTGAGTCCCTGTACTACAAGGAATGGAAGCAGCAGCAACAGAAGCTTCCATCTACACCGCTCATTGTGGAGGCAGATGAGGTGCAGCAGCCTTCAAGACAGGTGGAGGTTGCAGTGTCAGAGGAGGAGATGTCTGGGGTGACTGAGGAAGGGGGAGCAGCTGAAGTAGAGCAGCAGCAGCAGCAGCATGAGTCTCCACCTCGAGTTCCACACCCGCCTGAGCGTCCTAGGAGGGATGTGCGCCCTCCAGTGAGGCTGACCTATGGGGGAAGAGGCAAGCCAAATGTGGTGCAGGCTGGGAGTGTGGTTGAGCAGATTGAGGAAGATGAGATCGCTCACTGCTACTGGGCACCAATCCCTGAGCCCAAGACTCGAGAGGAGGCTTTGAATGGACCAAATGGGGAGAAGTGGAAGGCGAGTGAGGATGAGGAGTTCGGGTCCCTAATTGAGAACGAGACATGGGACCTGTGTGACTTGCCTCCTGGAAAGAAGGCAATCACTTCCAAGATGATCTACAGGCACAAGTATGGACCTGAAGGGGAGCTGACCCGCTACAAGTCCAGGCTTGTGGCAAGGGGGTTTCAGCAGACAAAAGGGAAGGACTATGATGAGGTGTTTGCTCCTGTGGGGAAAGGAACAACACTGAGGGTGCTGTTAGCGATAGCTGCACTCCTGGGATGGAAGATACGGCAGATGGACATTGTGACTGCTTTTCTGAATGGGATCATTATGGAGGAGGTGTACATGAAGCAGCCAGAGGGGCTGGATGACGGGAGCGGCAGGGTCTGCAGGCTGAAGAAGGCCATCTATGGCCTTAAGCAGGCGCCTCGTGCATGGTATCACAAGTTGGAGGAGGCGCTGTTGGCTGGGGGTTTCAAGAAGAGTGAGTGTGACCCCAGCCTGTTCCTGCTGCAGGAGAAGGATGAAATCCTCATGCTCTTGGTGTATGTGGATGATATCCTTCTCTTTTCTGCATCAACTGCTTTGCTGGACAGCGCAGAGCAGATGCTGGAGATGCAGTTCAAGTGCTCCAAGATGGGTGAGGTGAAGTACTACTTGGGGATGCACGTGGAGAGAGATGTGGAAAAGGGTGTGCTGAGGTTGCACCAGAGGAAGTACTGTGAGGGGCTGGCTGAGAAGTATGGGCTGCAAGATGGGGGAAAGCCAGCAACACCACTACCTTCAGGGTTTACTGTGGAGCCATGTGCTGATGAGGAGGTAGTGGGTGATAGTGACAGGAAGCTGTTTCATTCGATGGTTGGGTCGCTGAATTATGCTGCAAATCATACACGGCCTGACATTGCATTTGCTACATCACGATTGGCTAGTGTGGTCTCACGCCCTAGTCATGAGCAGCTGGAAGCGGCCAAGAGGTTGGTCCGCTATGTGAGCGCTACGGCATCAGTGGGATTGGAGTACAGTGGAGTGAGGCAGCGGTTGCAGAGAGGTGCTGCAGATGTGAAGAGTGGAGAGATGCTCTTGAGTTGCTATACTGACGCTAGCTTCAACTCAGTGAAAGCGGATGGCACCAGCATTGGGGGTTATGTGTGCTTGCTAGGAGGTGGTGCTGTGAGCTGGCGCAGCAAGAAGCAGAATGAGGTGGGATTGTCCTCATGTGAGACTGAGTACATGGCCTTACACCATGGGGCCAAGGAAGTAGTGTGGCTAAGGCGTTTGTTGGAGGAGTTGGGAGTTGGTCAGGAGAAGCCGACAGTTGTGTTTTGTGACAATGAGTCCGCTGTGAAGCTCGCCAAGAATGCTTGTCTGCATGGGCTGACAAAACACATAAGGCCTAAGTGGCATTGGGTGAGGAGACTCCTTGATAAGGAGGTGCGGCTGGAGATAGTGAAGACCCATCAGCAGGCAGCAGATATTTTCACTAAGCGTCTGGCGGAGGCGGATCATTGGAAGGGCATGAAGCTTGCTGGGATGAGTGTGCATTGAGTATGCATGCTTGAGATGTGGTATGGTCGATGATGGTTGGCAGCCAGAGGGGGAGATTGTTGTGTGATGTCATCATATGCTATCACATTCTGTCTGCCTCCCATCCCATGTTTTTTCAACTTGCATGTGTGGTTTGAATGTGCAAGCATTTGTGTGTGGTGTGTTCTGGAGTTTGGGAATGTGTTTTGTGTTATTCTGTCTGAGCAGGTATTTGTGATGATAGATCTTGAGAAGATCTTTCCGACGCAACAAGAATCGCTTCAATCGGAGCAAGAACGCGAAAGCTATGAAGATTCAAAGTTCATGAGCTTGCGTTACAATTGCGGCGGTTACAAAGTGAAGTTGTGGGGTGACTTTATATGGAGTTGGGACCTTTGGGGTTGGGGAAACTTGTCACTCTACTGTAACAGCTGCAAATTGGTTGGGAACAACCAAGCTAGGTTGGCAAGGGTGGCCAACTTGGATGGATTGGTTGGGAAGGGACAAAGGTCAAAGTTGAGGTTCCTATAGGGAGGGAATCTTTGTGCTTATGGGGTTTCCTTGGTTGGGGACTCTCTTGGGACCTTCCCTCTCATCCTTCTCTTCCTATCCCAACCTTTCTCTTGCTCCTTCTAATTCCTTGTGAGATTCTTGAACTTTGATTGAACCTTTGAGATTGAGTTAAGTTCTCCTCCTACAGCTTACCCCCTAATGCGTCGAAAGCCATAGCGTCGCGAATACTTCATCAATCAACGTGATTCAAATTGGGAACGGTAGCTGAGATTAAGAGCTACAACATATCCAAGTTTCGCGACATTCCAACGGCTAGTTTTTCGTCGACGTCGTTTCTTGTAAAGACGACTTTTCTGTCCAGAATTTCGGATTTATATTTTGAGTAATTCTAGCTCCTAAGTTCACCTAGACTCCGTCCTTAATCCTAACAAAAATGCCCAGGCGGCACAACGTCCTTTAGCAAACCACTCCCACGCCACTCGAGGAGGTTGAAAAATCGCTCGCACGCCACATTCGGGGGTAGGCAAACATCTCGCACGCCACTCTTGGGGGGTGGCAAACCACTCGCACGCCACTGTCAGGGGGCGGCAAACCACTCGCACGCCACTCTGGGGGCGTGGCGAACCACTCGCACACCACTCTGGGGGTGGCAACCCTCTTGCATGCCACTCGGGGAGGTGCCAAACCACTCGCACGCCACTTGGGGGGTGGCAAATTACTCACACGCCACTCGAGGGGTGGCAAACCACTCCCAAGCCACTCTGAGGGGTAACAAACCATTCCCACGCCACTCTCGGGGGGTGGAAAACCACTCGCACGTCACAGTAGGGGGTGGCAAACCACTCGCACGTCACACTACGGGGTGGCAAACCACTCGCACGCCACTCTTGGAGGGTGGCAAACAACTCGCACGCCAATCTTGGAGGGTGGCAAACAACTCGCACGCCACTCGGGGGGGTGGCAAACCACTGGCACGCTACTTTTGGTGGGTGGCAAACCAGTCGCACGCCACTCGCGGGGGTGGCAAACCACTCCCAAGCCTCTCTGAAGGGTGGCAAACCATTCGCACGCCACTCTCGGAGGGTGGCAAACCAATCCTACGCCACTCTCGGGGGTTGGCAAACCACTCGCACGCCACTCTGGGGGGTGGCAAACCTCTCGCACGCCACTCGCACGTCACACTGCGGGATTGCAAACCACTGGCACGTCACACAGCGGGGTGGCAAACTATTCGCACGCCACTCTTGGAGGGTGGCAAACTATTCGCACCCCAATCTTGGAGAATGGCAAACCATTCGCACGCCATTCTCGGAGGGTGGCAAACCACTCCCACGCCACTCTCGGGGGTTGAAAAACCACTGACATGCCACTCTGGGGAGTGGCAAACCACCCGCACGCCACTCTGGGGGTTGGCAAACCACTCCCAAGCCACTCTGGGTGGTGGCAAAGCATTCGCAACCACAATCAAGGGGTGGCAAACCACTCGTGCGCCACTCTCGGGGGGTGGCAAACCACTTGTACGCCACTCAGAGGGGTGGCAAACCACTCGCACACCAATTGGAGGGTGGCAAACCACTCGCACGCCACCCTCGGGGGTTTAGGAATGGTTTGCCACCACTCAGAGTGGCTTGAGAGTGGTTTGCCACCACGCCCAGTGGCGTGCGAGTAATTTGCCACCCCCCAAGTGGCGTGCGAGTGGTTTGGCACCCCCCCGAGTGGCGTGCGAGAGGGTTGCCCCCCTCCAAGATTTGCGTGCGATTGATAAGCAACCTCCCGGAGTGGCGTGCGAGTGGTTTGCCACCCCTAGAGTTGAGTGCAAGTGGTTTGCTACCCCTCGAGTGTGGCGGGCAAGTGGTTTACCACACCCCGAGAGTGGCGTGCGAGTGGTTTGCCCCCCTCTGAGAGTGGCATGCGAATGGTTTGCCACCCCCCACAGTGGCTTGGGAGTGGTTTGCCACCCCACCGAGTAGCGTGCGAGTTGTTTGCCATCCCCACGAGTTGGGTGCGAGTGGTTTGCCACCCCCCAGAGTGGCGTGTGAGTGGTTTGCCACCCCCCAGAGTGGCGTGCGAGTGGTTTGCCACCCCCCCGATTGGCTTGGGAGTGGTTTGCCACCCCCTAAGAGTGGCGTGCGAGTGGTTTCCCTGTTGTGTGATGTCATCATATGCTATCACATTCTGTCTGCCTCCCATCCCATATTTTTTCAACTTGCATGTGTGGTTTGAACGTGTGCAAGAATTTGTGTGTGATGTGTTCTGGAGTTTGGGAATGTGTTTTGTGTTATTTTGTTT